ACCTCCGTAGCTGGCATCGTCGCATCAGCGTCCGCAGGTGCCCCCGCAATTCCGCGATCCGAATCGGCGGGCGCGTTGCAATCCTCGACGAACTCAATCCGCGCAGGTTGCCCCGCGATAGGAATGCCCAACCAGTCCGCAAGGTTGATCCCGCCACGGCCGTCGTAGTTCTCCTCGAAGAGCTCATCGGCACATCTCTCGAGAGACGAGCTGGCGCTCAGATGCCTCGCGGACAAGATGTGGCCAGCGGCAGCAGGGTTTTCTTCGGGTTCGGCGAGGGGCATCCCCCAACCGACACACTGAATGTCGGAATCGGTCTGAGCCAAATCTATCGACGGACCCCTGCCTCCCCCGTCGCCTTGGGGGCGCTCGCGACGAACGTGTTGTGTGCTATGGCAGATATCACATTCCATGGTTTCCCGTTGGCGCCCCTCGGGGTACCCGGGCGCCCCTAGCAATTTCCTGATGCGCGCCTGTGGCCTCTACCTGTCCCCGGGAATATTTCTTCGCATTCCGGCGCCGCGCGGGATGCCAAGAATGCCGACATACCTCTGCCATGGAATCTCCGTCGTCTGCCTGTACCTTTACCTCTGCCCTTGCCCTTTGATCTAAGCGCCCGTCGGCCCGCGCGTCGTGCCTTGCGAACTGGTTTCTTCGTAATGCGTCTCCATCGGCGTCTGTGTTTCTGGCGCCCTAGGAATAACATCTGCGCCTGCTGCTCCTCAGTGAGATACACAGACATGTCGGAGTAGTCCAGGGTAACAATCCCCTAGTCCGCCGAGGCGTCGGCGTCGGTACCAGAGTCAGATTCGGACTCAGCGGCTTGCCCTGCAGAGCCTGCAAGGGTAGCTGCGCGAGCAAGGGCCGCCGCTGGGAGAACAGAAAGCCGACGCCAGCACCGAGAAAGCAGGTGTTCCGCGAAATGTTGAATTGCGCTTTGGGCCGGCGCGACCCCGCCCGGGCCCGGGGAAGCGCCGGGGGGCCAGGGGGGGGGAGGGAGACGTCGCGCAGCAGGTAGGAGGGAGAGCAGGAAGCAAAAAGTGCAAGCGAGAAGCGAAACTGGCGGGCGCTCTCGGGGGAGGAAAGAAAAAAGGAAGAAGAATGCGACATCTTCCATGACCGAAGCCTCGCCCCCCCCGCCGCCCCCCCCCCCGCGCCCTCCCCCGCCCGCTCGCCGCCCTTCATGCCCCCCCCTCCCCCCCCCCCTCCCCGCGCCCGCCCTCTGTCCGCCCGCGTCGAGCCCCTGACCGTCTATTTGCCCGAAGGCAGCGCCCGACGATTCCGAACCGCCTACTCCCCGCGAAGGGGGGCGGCGGCCGCCCTGCGCGTCTGCGGCCAAGGGCCGCGGCCCCCTCTTGACCCGAGTCCGCAGTCCCCGGCGACCTTCCGAAATCGTCGATGGGGCTCAGCTCGCCCATGGGGCCGCCTTTCCAGAGGGGGCCTCGGTGCTGGCGTCGGCTTTTCGATGTTGCGAGGAACGAAAAGCAGGCGCCGGCGCCAAGACGCCACTGGAAAATTGAACGATTTCCCCGCGGGGGCTGAGCGACCCAAAAGAAGCCTGGAAAGCTTGAGATGGCTCGCGTTGCTCTCCGGATTTGCAGGCCATGGGGCTCGCGTGATAGAAAAGCGTCGCATACGGCTCGCGGCGCCCGCAAGGCCCGCGGGGCCCCCGTGGCCCGCGCGGTTCGCAGGGCCCAGAAACCCGATGTGGCCCTGGCGATTCAGGGGGCCTATGGGGCATGCGCGGCTCGCAAGGCCAGCGCGGCGCGTTGGGCCCATGCGCGCTGCGGCGCACGCGCGGCCCAGAAAACCGTTGAGGGTCTTGTTGGGCGCATCGGGCTAGCTGGGTTCGCGCGGCCCACGGGCCTCGTGCTGCCCGTGGAAATCCGAACGCCCACCTGGGGAAATAGAAACGACCCGCCTTGTTCCCGCGCGCTCAGAGCTGGAATTCATTCATCAGCGCGGGACACGCGAGCCCGAATACACGGGCGACGGCAATCAACGGAGGCTACTAGATTTTTTATCCCAATGGGATCTCGGTGTTGGCGTCGGGCCCCAGCGCGCCGAGCAGTTGCTGACGGCCCCTGATAACGAGCCCAGGAGTCTTGCGAGGCTGGCCAGCCTGTCGGCTGATGAAAAAGGTGGCCTCAGTTGGTTGTGGACCGTCATTCCAGACGCTGTAAGCAGGTTGCCCTGCATCTATCTCGGCATGAAAGGCCCCCGTGCGATGGCCCAAGCTAAACACGCCGCCAATGTTGCCAAGGGTTCGCTCAGAAATGTGGGCAAAAGACCCCGTGCGCTCGAGCAGAAGAGTCAAGCGGCTGCGGTGTCCGTGGCATTTGGTGGCTTAATGGTTGTAGTAGTTGCTGCGCACGCGATGTGCCAACACCCAGAGCTCTGAACAAGTAAATGTTAGGATCTGGGAGTTGGGAACGTTGAAGCCTGCGGATTCGGCCTCAAAGCGCGCTATCTCAAAGCGGGCTACCGTCTGGTCGATCCGCTTTCCCGCATGGACGCGAAAATCGACGAGCGCTGTTCCCGGGTTAATTTGGCGCCCCTCCTCTACATGTTCAAAACTTCATGCTGAGGAGGAGCATGATGTAGGTGACGCCATCGGTGTGGCGACCACCAATAACCTGAAGAAGCAATTACAGACCCCCCCCCCTTCCGGCGAAACGACAACCGCCCCGCACCCTGGAAGCGTTATTCTGGCACCTGTGGCTGGGAGGAGGAGGAGAAGGAGGAGAAGAAGGAGGAGGAGACGGCGATGGATTTCCGGCCGCCTGCCCAAGCCGCTTCGAAACCATCGTCGTCATCAGCATCATCATCGTCATCAACGGTAGCAGTAACAGCTACGGTGTCAGCAGTACCTGTAACACTCGCCTTATTCTTATTATTGTTCTTATTCGTATTATTATTCTTAGTCGCATTCTTATGCTTATTACACTTCCAATTGGGATGCCATCCGGGGCGGGGCGCAGGAATTATTTATTGTCCTCTCATTTGCGCGGTGCTACTTATATCGTTCGGCGAAAACCCCCCAAAATAATTATTTAGTTACGGCGCGGTGCTAATGATAACGCCGGGGGGGTTCTCAATTGCTTCTCCGGGCTATTCACGCCAAACTTAATGAATGCGGGGGTTACTCTCATGGCTATGGTCATTGCGAGCCCTCCCAGACCACGCTGCAGCGCCGCGACCTGTTGGGAGGGGGTCATGGTGCATGTGGCCACGTTGATCCAGGCGTGTACCTCGCGAACGAATTCGCGGAAAAGGCACTTTGCCGGCAGGGTCCCAGCGGGGGCTGGTATTAAATGCGTCGTCTCCGCCACGCTGCGCGCGTACAACAACGCATCCGATAGCGACGCATAGAAGACCAAACTTGGTAATACTTACCAAACGGCCTCGTAGGTCGTGATCGGTTGTTTGTGGCTGTGGTGTACAATGTGACGTCGTCGTTAGCCTGCGCGGGAGTGGAGGCGGCGCAATATCGTATCGCACGTTGCCACGCACCGCGTCTTCGAAGAACTTTCCAATTTGATTAGGAGGGTGAGCTTCAGGAGTGTAGTAGCGCAGAGAGGCAGGACTCATGTAACAGACCTCCGCGTGAACGGGGGTAGCACTGCAACTGTCGTTGCGGTTGGGCGGAGATATGTAGATTCCTCCGCGCAAACCCACTGCACCCTGATGTTTCCCAATGTCAGTAGTCCACAAGATAATGCCGTGGATGGTGAGGAGTAGAGCCAGAGCTGACCACCATAGGCCAGCTCCGCTACCAAGTTTGAAGGGCTCTGGGAGGCCCAACCATACGCTTCGCCTCAGGCGAAGCCCATATCCAACTCTGCTATACCATGGTAGCGAAAGTCCCAGGAGCAGGATGTCGTCTCGGAGGTGACGGGCCATGTCAACCGAATATGGTTGCGGTCTCAATGGCAAGTACTTTGCCTCGCGATGAAGCGCAGTTATATCTTGGCGGCCGGCCGTTTGATTACAAACGGCCGCGGCCAAACGCTCGATATCTCTCGCCTTTGCCCCAGCCTCTTACAAAGTGAAACGGGCCTCCAAGACGGCCCAAAAACGCCCAAAGACGGCCTCAAAAAGGGAAGCCCAGTGGGCGACCGCGAGCTCACTATTCGAGCTCTCAGCTTCGAAGGGACCCCATGGGACCGCCAGCACGCGTCCTGAAGGCCCCCAAGAATGCCAAAGAGGCGGCAAAGAGCCCAAGATGACAAAAAACAACGAATACAAAACTAACTTTGATGAAAAGAACGGTGCTAAAAAAACAAGCGCGTATGCTCACAAGCCTTTATCACACAAAAAGGTCGCCAAACTGTCCCCCCCCTCCCCAATAACAAACAACTCCCTCGCAACTCCCAATAAACGAGCAGGTCACGGCACGCGCGCAGAGCAGGCCACGGCACGGAGGCCGAACATCGAGCAGGGGGTCAGCGGATGTGGCGTAAGCCTAAATGAGTGTCCTAAGAACGCGTTCTAGGAAAACCCAGACGGCCCAGGCGAGAAATTGTCTAAGAACGCGACAGAAACACCACCAACAAGAATTTAGGCTTTGATGAGCCTGTAGGCAAGCCAGGACGCTTCGCCACTGCCTGAAAGGATAGAGGAGGATCCCATATTGAACTTACTAGGCTGAACGGGCCAGGGGGCACACAAATAAATAGTCGTAATTCCCAGGATCCCCCTACATTCTTGCATATTTATGGATTGTCGTCTGCCCCTCAACTCCCCACGTGATCCCGCATGTTCCTAGGAACCGACGATTATGCGTGTCTGTATCTGCTGTTCCCTGCTGATCGGCTCGACTCGAGCCTTCCAGACTGCGGGCACAACGTGTTCCCGAATGCGTTTTGAACGAACAACAACGAGAATACGAACACATCCAGAGACAAAACACCTAGACACTGCTCAGCTCCAGCCCTGTGCTGGAGACCCCTGGTCCTCAGGGTCCCACTCCTCGTGGCCCCATCCTTGACCCGCCGATCCTCCGTGCCTGGCTCGTCGGTGCACGCGCGCACCGAGACGGCCCCAGAGAAGCTGGCCTCCGAGGAACAAACAAACGGCACAACTTTTGAGCAGGGACCCACCGTCCAGGCAATCCTGTAGGCCTACCACACAGTCTTCTTTGAACGCAAAATGTTCGAAGAACAAGGAACAACGTTCTTCTGGCATAAAGCCCATGCATTCAACCAAGACGGTCTCAGCCAGAAAAGTTCTAAGAACACTTCGTGCCAACAATAGAAGGTTCTTAGAACATTCTTTCCTGGGCCTATCGGCAAACCAGGACGCCACGGTCGGGAACTCTTGCCTCGCCTGTCGTCGGCGGCGGCCCCGGCGACACGATGTGCGCTGCAAGCAGATAGCGCGTCGCTACGCTCAGCGGAACGGGAGGCCTGGACGGGCTCGGGGCACTGAAGCCCGGAGACTGGGATGTGGATAGCGTTCCGCGCCGAAGCGTGGTGGACCAGAACCAGCGGAGCGACAAGCTATCCAAAAGTTCCCGACCGCAAACTGTAGGAGCTCCGCGCGGATGTCTTGGATCGGCGCTGGAACCCCCTCCCTGGAGCACGGAGCGCGCCAAGGGCTGCAGCAGAGGCTCCGCCAGGGGGACCCCATCGCAGACGCAAGAAATCCACGCGGAGCTCTGAAATTGTATGTCTACAGTCGGGCTTCCGAAATCAGGAATGAAACTCCGTTTTGCTCTCAAAAAGAGCCTGGGTGCACGAGGGGCAGAAGAACAGCCCCAACCTGACCCAAGGATCAGCTAGCCCCGTCCAAACCCAAAGCGGTCATTCATTTCAGCGTATTGCCTGTGTGCATGTTTCTTCCTCGCCGAGGCCTCTGGGACCCGCACGCCTGCCACGCTGTTGGCCTCCACGTCGATCAAGCCAGCAGAGCAGCCCGGCAGGCTCCCGCCGTTCGGATTCGAGCCGCAGGACCACCCGCAGACGCCGCCGACCGAGTCGCACTGCGAGGCCAGCTCCTCCGGTGCCATGGTATTGTGCTGGTTATGCCAGTTCACCTTCGGATGCCACAGATTTGTTGTTTAGAGTCGGTGCGAGGCGGAACTATGTATCCATACAGATGCAGACAAGTCGCTGCAACCAAGTACTCGCGCGTGCTCAGACCAGCCCGATCTGGATGCCACCACTTAGACCCTCTCAGGCCTGCGGGCCGCAGCCCCTGACCCAGGCTTAAAGGACAACCAAGCCTTTGATGGCCGCCTCTTGGCCGCCTTCGCGGGCGGGCGCGTGCAAAGCTACGACGCTGCAGTACAGAGGAGACGGAGGGGGAACAGACAAACTTGGGGGCGAACGGCGGCACGAGGGGAACAAAGAGGAGGGGGGGACAAACCTTTAGCCACGACCGGCGAACCTATCCGTATCCGCGCCCTTGCGGTCTGGATTACACACGGGGCGGGATCCCGCGGATACGCATTCGCACATGAACGTGCCGCGCGGGGCATCCGCGAAAAAAGCGCGCCGTATCCGCGGGGTGGCGGCCCAGGGGTCCAGCCCGCGAGGCCGCGGATACGGATAAGTGTTTCGTCCATGATTCAGAGGCCTCCCAGATAGGGTCAGAGTAGGTGGGGTGTGAGGATCGAGCCGCATCGTCGATGCATCACCGATGTGCCACCGATGCAACAGCGACGTCGCAATTGCATCGGCGACGCCGCCGTGGGGAAGATCGAGCTCCACATGGAGCCGCATCGCCGATGCATCGGCGATGTGGCGTGATCCTTCGAGCCCATCGAACCCTACCTGGGAGGCCCGAAACCTTCTCGCTGTGCCAGACGACGCAAACCATGACGTAGGTGGGCGTGGAGGCGTACAGCTCCTCCGGCCTCACCTCCGCGGGCGCCACGGGGTTGCCCTCGCTGTCGCGGTCGAACTCCGGAGGCCGCGTGCACTCCTCCAGAGGAACAGAGCGTGGCATGCACATCTATTGCTTTCTCGGGGGGCCACGCGGGTTTCTTGGATCGCTGCACGCGGAGCGTGCCAGGGGCGGCGTCGGAGGCGCCGCCAGGGGGCCCAGCGCCGACCTAGTAAATCCGAGCGGACCTCCCAGATATTATGTTGATACGTTTTTTGTTGTTCTTTTTCGATCCTTGGTCACGTGGCGGTACACAGAGGACTCCTCCGGGCTGCTGCTTGGGAAGTAGGAGTGGGGCGTCGAGTCCGTCCTGTCCGCCGCGAGCCACCAATTGCTCCAGTCGTTCGAGGCCAGCAGCAGGGGGAAGGCACTGTACTCGAACCCTGGTGCGAGGCGGGAACATATGCTTAGTCACCGCCTGGGGAGCCCACGTCCTGTGACCCAAGGGAGCGGCGGCTATGGATTTTCCTGGGTCCCCTGCGGCCCATACATATATGTGTGCGCATATGAAAATACAAAACACCGCTTCTCGAGGTCCAGGAAGATCGGATTCCAATGCGGTGGATCTGGGTAAATTCCTGCCCTAGACCTGTGGCGTTCAAAGTCACGTCGACGTTGAAGCTCATCTCGTTGTAGCCAGACGAGGTTGTGCCGTCGAAGCCGATGCACGACAGATTGCATCCAGATGTCGTCCTCGGGATCCTGGACATCGAGATAGAGTATTGGCTGGACGTGTCCGCCTTGATGAACGTCTGGTTCTGCAGGGCGGGCCACTTGTCGTAGTCCTCGTTCCTAGAAGGAAATACGGCGTAAGCATTCACTTGTAAAACTCCTCGCGGACTTCTTGGATCGGCGCTGGACTCCCTTCGCTGCCCAAGAAGTCCGCGCGGACCTCCAACGGTTTATGATAATGCAGTTATCTGTTCTTCGAGCTCCAGAACTCGATCGGCATCGGGCTCATCAACATCCACTTCAGGAAGAGCGGGAACTCGAAGAAGAAGAGCGCGAACACAACCACGAAACACCTTGGAGCGCATAAAAAATACGGACGCCACTCCTGCACGGACCTGTGCCGGGGCGCGCTGTAACCAGGATTCTGAAGCGAATCCACCCGTGGCTCGGCGGCGAGCCAGGAGGAATGAGACAGAGAAGGCCTCCTCAGAAGACGTCGGGGCTTCTCCGAAGCTCTCTGGCCTGATGGCAAGTTTTCTGTCTTCGGGGAAATCTTGAAAAACTTGTCAGGAGGCCAGGGGGACTTCCGAGTCTTCTGAGAGGGCCCGCCCGTTTTCACTTCCCCGACGGGCTCGCCGCCGAGTGGCGACGAGGGCGCCCCACAGGGCCAAGACTGCACAAGCATCAACCTTCGGAGATCCGCGCGGATTCCACGGATCGGCGCCCCCGGCGCGCGGAGCGCCCCAGGGGCGGCGACGGAGGCGCCGCCAGGGAGGGGGGCCCAGCGCAACTGCAAAGGATCCGCGCGGAGCTCCGAATGTTTCTCTATACGGTCGGGCTGCCGAAGTGAGGAACGAAGCCCCTCTGGATCTCAAGGAGCCTGTTCAGGAGGATGAGGAGGAGGAAGGAGGAGGAGGAGAAGGAGGAGGAGGAGGAGGAGGGCTACCTCCTCCTCCTCAGCCAGAGGTAGCTCCTCCTCCTCCTCCTCCTCCTCCTTCTCCTGCTCCTCCTCCTCTCAGGAGGGGGCTACCTCCTCCTCCTCAGCTGGAGGTACCCTCCTCCTCCTCCTCCTCCCCCTCCTCCTCCTCCTCCTCCTCCTCCTCCTCCTCCCCCTCCTCCTCCACACCTGACTAGCTACTATCCTCCCCTCATGAAGGAGGGCCAGCACAAACCCTCGGAGCTCCGCGCGGACTGCACGGATCGGCGCTGGACCCGCCCGCCCCCGGCTCCCGGGGCGCGCGGCATGCCGAGGGCAGCGCAGGAGGCGCAGACGGGGCCCAGCGACCCAAGAAATCCGCGCGGACCTCCGAAGTCTGTGCTCTCTGCTCGTCGCCCCCTTCCTCCCGAGACGAAGCCCCGACGGCGGCAAATCCGGATGAAGATACATCGAGAATCTCTGAGATCCAGCGGCTCTGGAAGATTATCGAGCGCAGCGGCCTTCTCAGACCGTTCCGGAACGCTCCGAGAGCGCTCTGGAACGCTCTGGAACGGATTCATCCTCGTCCTAGCCCCGTCCAGCCTCCTCCCCCCTCCCGTCATGCAACGCAGCCTCGGCGCACATGTTCCTGCTCGCTTTCTCCCTTGTCCGAACCCTATTTGAGCGGACCCCTTAGCAACGGCGACAGGCGAACGAGAGGGAAGGGTCAAGGCATCGGTAGGTACGCCTTTCCCGTCCGAGCACCAATAGCAGGCGCTCCCCTTGCCCTTGCCGCAGTGCGCCTTGCACCAGCCCTCGCCAGCGGGGGCGCTGCCCTCGTCGTCCTCTGGAAGGCCTCGCTGCAACCACCGTTTCGATGTCGCCCCTCCCCCCCCCGCTCGCCCCTCACGCTGCTCTCGCCCTGCCCGTTGACATCAAGGGAAGAAGAAGACTCTCCTCTCTGGCGCGTAACAAAGAGAGCGAACAAAACAATGATCATACAGTTCAACGAGGCGTCCAGCGAAATCACCCTTTCGACGAAGGACCGCCCCCCCATCCGCGTAAATGTTGCACAAATTTACCCTTGTGGCCAAGAGCTTCGCAGAGCTCTGAGTGACATCTCCAATTTCAAAGAAAACCGCCATGCAACCGTGCAGCGCTACGTGCGTTCATGCTTTGGGCCCTTAACTTAGCTTGGCCTCTGGCGAGAACTCCCTTTTGAAAAAGAAAACCGCCCCATCCTGCTAAACATCGCGTTGAAACAGGGATGCGCGCAACGCTGGGGCGAGACACATTTTGAAAAATAACCGCACTGCATCCGTGAAGCTACTGAAAGCGTGCAAAACAAATGTGAGCCGTGCTTAGGCGAGAGCCACAGCTTGAAACGGAACCGCCTCCCATCAATAAAACTGCTGCCGACACTTACGACGAATGTGCGCAACGCTATGGCCGAAACCTCTTTTTGAAAACCGACTGCACTCCATGCGCGGAATTGTTGCACACTGCTTTGTAACGAATTGGCACAGCGCGTGGGCGAAACCCGCATTTTGAATATGAGCCGCCCTTGATCCGTTAAAGTGTTGCCGACTTTTAGATTGAATTTGCACGGCACTAAATCACAAATCGCATGTTGAAATGCAAGCCCCCTCCACCCGTGGATCTGCTACAAACTTCAACAAATGTGCATGCCCACCAAATGATAGCCACAATTTGAAAAGGAACCGATCTCCATCCGTGAAGCTTTTGCAATGGATCAAACGAACATGCGCGGCAGAAAGGCGAAAACCACACATTGAAAAAGAACCGCCCTCAAGCCGTGAAACCGTTGCAAGCTCTTCAGACGAATGTGTACGGCGCTGAAGCACGGACCACCTGTTGCTAAAGACGCCCCCTCATCCCGTAGATGTGCTGCACAAATTTGCAACGAACGCGCATGGCGATCAAGCGAGAACTACACTTTGAGAAAGAAACGATCTCCATCCGTGAAACTGCTACAAGCTCTGAAGAAGAGTGTGCGTGGCGCTGATGCAAGAGTACGGCTTTGAAAACAGATCGCCCTCCACCCTTGAAGCCCTGCCGGCTTTTAGAACGAACGTGCGCGGCGCCAAGGTTGGAGCCACATGTTGAAAACCACCCCCGTCCATACGCCCATACGCGAAATGGTTGCCAACATTTTTACATCGAAAGCGAGAGCCGCATTTTGAAAGAGAGCCGCCCTTCGTCGGCAATGTGCTGCCAACTCTTGAGAAGAATGTGCGCGGTGCGAAGGCAAGAACTACATGTCGAAAACCCCCCCGGCTCCACCTGGGTACCTGCTGCAAACTTCGACAATGAATGTGAGCGGAGCTGTAGCCAGAACCACATTCAAAAGAGGAAACGCCTTCCATCCGCGAAACTGCTGCAAACTCTTAAGACGCATGTCCTCGGCGCTTAGGCGAGAATGCGATTCCGACGGCCGTCTTCCCTCCATCCGTTAGCCTGTCGAAAAAACAAGAAAACAAGTTCAAAACAACCATCCGTTCATCCATAAAACTGTGACACATTGTCCACTTCAGGATCTCGAATGTTGACGACTTCTCAAGCGAAACGCCCAGCCCGCCTTTCCGACACGCCTGGTGGCGTGCTAGGGAGAAGTTGCTGAGAAAAAAGAATGGAAAGGAAGGCGGAGGAGAGGAGGAGGAAGAGGAAAGGCGGGGCGGTGAATGGGAGGATGAGGAGAGGACGAGAGGAGAGAAGAGGAGGAGATGAGGAGTCCAGGAGGAGGAAAGCAGCGGTGTGTCACATATCGGGAACCCCCCAATCCTCCTCCTCGTCCGGCATCGCGGAGCCGCTCTTGAGCCAACCGCTGAAGCGGGAGCCCGATCGTCTGGTGGCCCTCTCCTCCGTGTCCACCAGGCCCCTCCTCTGGATGCAGCCCAACAGGGGCTGGAGTAGTGAGACGAGGCCAGGACCGGGAACACTCAGACTGGGACACATCGGGGATGTCTAAGACCCTGCGGTTCTGGAAGATGTATCGGGCGCCCTGGCCGTTCCAGAGATCTCTGGAACGCCCTCCGGATCGCTCTGCAGCGACTTATTTCCGTACTGGGCCCGCCCGAAGTAGATGAGGTTGAAGAGTCGCGCCGTATCACCACTGCATCGCCGATGTATCGGCGACGTCGGTATGGAAAGCATCGTGCTCGGGAGCGCGCCGCATCGCCGATGTATGGGCGACGTCGGGACGGAGAGCATCATGATATGGAGCGCGCCGCATCGCCGATGCACCGGGGATGAGGCTCAAACTTTGGGCGGCCTGGATCCTGGAGGCCGCTTCGCCCACCTCCGCGTCGGTCGCATCAGTGGTGCTGCCGGCCTCTGCGCCGAATGCCGCCGTCTCGGGGATGGCCACCTGAGCGACGATCAGAAAACGGGCCTGACGCACGACAACACAGCGACCCTACGCGGCGGCTTGCGCAGACTGCCGACGCGGCTTACCACATTGGAAACGAGGGCGCAGGCTATCTGACGCACTTTGACCCCTGACGTTTCAAGACGTCGACCCCCAGAAATGTTGACCAACTCCATGGGACTGGTTGCATCCTGAGTCGTTATGTGTTGGTCCAGGGGCCCGGCGCGGGCCTCTGGAGGCCGAAACTAAAGAAGAACTTCCCGTCGTTAATTTGTCATCACCCTACGGGGTCTGGGCAAGCAACTTATGTGCCAAGACTCGTGCAAATGACCCCCCTCCTCTGCGCCGCTCAACAGGATTTCCAATACATGTCCATGTTTTCTGACTTTTCGTCTTCCCCTTCGTTTCCGATGTGTGCGAATATTTTCATCGGGATCAGCGTAAGCAGAAGCGGGGGCGCCACGAATTCGAATCAATCTTTGCCCACGCTGTCCAGGCCGCAGAGGGTGAGGAGGAACCTGTCGAAGCTCTAGCAGAGCACCGTAATGTCTGCCGCAGACTGGCGCGCAGCCGTAGGGCGGTATTGCGACGCCCTGTAAGGCCACGGCTTTTGTGCTCATGAGCTTTGCACTTAGCTTTGGTTGTTTTGTATATATGGTTTTGTTTCCTCTCTCTCTCTCTCTCTCTCCCTCTCCCTCTCCCTTGCGCGTGTGCTTATGTTTACCTCCTGGCACCTGAATGGAGCCGCTGAGGCCGCTGGCCTCCCCACGCGTAGGCTGCCGCATCTCCGCCTGTTCGGCGACGGCCGCCACAGGTGGTGCGGGGAGCGATGCCATGGCTGCCGTCTATAGCCCCTAAGGTGCAGTCAATACTCATGATAAGGATGCGCGGTAAGGACGCAAGGGTCTTTGAGGGCCATGTTGGCGTTTTCGAGCGGGGCGGGGCCAACGAAAATCGGTAAGGATGGGCCGACGGGGCAAGGATGCACGGGTAGCCTTGGAGAGCTGTTCATCCTTACTATGCGCTTTTGACTGCGGATGGAACAAAAGCAGCCCGAACATACGTTTTCGGAGGTCTCCGCGGATTTCTTGGAGCTGCGCCGGACCCCCCCTTCCCTGGCGCGCGGAAGGCGCCAGGGGCGGTGCCCGAGGCGCCGCCACAGTGGGTTCTGACGCCGACCCGAAACATCCGCACGGACATCCGAACAATCATGTTTCCGCCATGTTTTTGCTCCCCGAGCTCTCAGGACTTTTCACCCATCGACGTGCCGGAATCAAGACGGACAAATCGAGGTGCATGCAGACATATCAAGGCAAAAAGAGGCGAATCCAGGCAGGGCCATACAATCCAGAGATCTCCTGTGAAACTTTCGAGCAAGTCGTGACCGCTCTAGCGCGAGCCGAAGGACGGCAAAAGTCGTGAAGCCCCAAACGATATGGGGTGGTTGCTGGGATGTTGCTGGTGGCACGTTTGGCCGTCCCAGGTGCTGGTGGCCTGCCTGGCAGACTTGATGCTGCTCGGGCCTTGCTGGAGCCAGAGTCGTTGGAGCAAGGGGCTGCAGGGAGAAAAGGGAACGACCGAGCGGATGATGAGAACTACTGCGCGAGCAAGAAATGCATTCGGCGGGAAAAAACGATCATGATGCGGTTCTCCTGCTGGCCCTCACGCAACTTGGTGTCACAATCATCGCCGACAACGAATATGCCCATCGGTGTCGCGGCAAGGCACCGACTGCTATGCAAGCGTGGGCTATGTCATGATTTCAATGGCTACCACAGATGTGTCAATAATCCGGGTCGTCGGAGCGTGCACATGTCTTTCCCTTTTTGTAAATGCTCCTCGTAATCCAGCGGCGGGCGAGGCTAACAACCTAAGGGCAGAAACCCAAACGCAGAAATCTAACACCGAACAGAAACATTGCACACCATCCGGCAATAAATGGCACCGCGGGAACAATGATCGATCCCCTCCCCCCGTGTCGGGAAACATGTGTCGTTCCTCACATCCTGGTAATGATACCCTGGCCCCCGACGTCTCCGGCCTCCCAAAATCGGGATGTCAAAATGAGCCCCGATCGCATCCCAACAATATTCCAATATAGGAATCCAATGAGGTGCCAATTGCATGCCCATGGGATTCTCAAGGGCTCCAATCGACTTCGGGGTGAAACAGAAGCATCTCAATCGGATTCCAATGTGGAGCCCAACTGGATTTTGATTGGATCCCAATCAGATGCGATACAGATCCCAATGAGACTCCACTCGGTTTCCAATGATTCCGGGAATTAACGCATTGATAATTCCGAGAGCAGGACATCCCGCTAGAATGTCTTTAGCTTGCCCCTCGCTGTTTCCTCTTTGCCTTGGCGGAAGCCCTCCCCCCGCCCACTGTTCCGCCTCCTCCTCCTCCTCCTCCTCCTCCTCCTCCTCCTCCTCCTCCTCCTCCTCCTCCTCCTCCTCCTCCATTGCATTTTCACCCTCAGCCTCCTCCTCCTCCTCCTTCTCGTCCCCTCCTTCGCCGACTCCCCATCCTCCACTTTCCCCTTGTCCCCCTCCTCCTTCACGCCTACCTCCTCCGCGTCGCCATCCTCCTAAGCATCCCCCTCTTATTATCCTCCTGCCCATTTTCCCCGCGCGCCCCCCTGGCCCCCGGGCCGGGGCGCGTCGATTTTCGACGGCGCCGGCGAAACCTCAACAAGCGCGCGCGCCTTCTCCAATGGGCACACCGCGAAGCCGTCGAACCCAGCCCGCGGACTCGGCCGCCGGGGCAACCTCGCGAGCCGCTGGGGCGCGGGAGCCTGCAGCTGGGACGACCCCGCAGGTCTCGAGCCGGTCGCGGCCGCGCTCAGGCGGGTGGCAGCACGATGCCCAGCTCTGCCGCGAGCTGTTTCACCTCGGCTCTGGAGCCGCCCGCTCTCCGCTGACGCCCTTGCGCAGCGTCTGGCCATGCAGCAGCGTGGAGGCCAGATCGGGCGCGCGCGTCGGGGTGAACCCCGAGCGGTGCGCGGCGCGCGGCCCCGAGCTCTGCCGCGTGATTTCCTGCCCGCTGGACCTGCGACGCCCGCGCCTTGGCGCGGCCGTCGTCGCCAGCGCCTTCGGCGCCCTGTAGCAACAACCCGGCGACCTCCTGATAGACCGGGGACACCTCGAAACCGTGCTCGTGCATCCAGAACCCCCGCGGCGCGCAGCGGGGGCGACTAAAGTGCTGGCCCGGCGAGCGCCCCTCGCAGTCCTGCTCGCAGGACGCGATGGTGGCCCGTTGCTCCTGCGCGAGCCCCAACTTCTCCAGCGCCTCCACGACCGCGAACAGAAACTCATGCCGACGCGTGCTGGCAAGGCGCCGTGGACGCTCCCCGTCCTCTGCGTGCGCGGGACGTTCAGGGGGCGCCGACCTGCGCTGGGATCGCCGCGGGCCGCGTTGCATTCGTCCACGGCCTGCAGGAAAACAGGGGGCACGCCAAGACGTCTTGCGCGCCTGTGGCGCTGAACCCTTCGGGGAGTGTGCAAGACATCTCACGAGTTGCCTCCCTGGGACGCCCAAGTGCCAAACGCGCTGATGTCGGCCGATGGCCCACCCCGGATTCGAACGTGAAGCACGGGGCCCTTAGGGGGCGGCCCCCGCCTAAGACCACCTCGAAATTCATTCCCAGGCGAGGCTCCCGCTTGAGACGTCCACGCAGTTCCCGCCTCTCGGGGCGCTCACTGGCGGGCTGAGTCTCTGCGGCCATTATGGCATCAGACATGCGTACCCCCCTTCCCGAGGAAAGCGATCCTTTCCGCCTCGTGATTGTCGACGCTGGGCTCTGGCTCGATTTCCGAGTTGGGGTCCATCTCCTCTGCCTTCCCAACTCCCTTGCGAGGCCTCGGGTGTCTCCAGCGCTTCCTGGCGCAGCACCTGAGCATGCGCCTGGCGAGCCTGCCCGCGCTCCTGCGCGTCCAACTGCAGCAGGCCCGACTGAGTGTAGTATCAGCGCGGCCCACGGGCGTAAGCATAGCCAGATCCGACACGTTGATCCGGGTGCTGGAGTTGACCACGCACGACGGTGGCCCCCTCGCTGCCTGTCGTGGCCCCATTGCACCCCTTCTTGGCCCCTTTGCAGCCCTTCGCGGCCCCCTTGGCTGCCTTTCGTGGCCCCCCTGCACCCCTTCGTGGCCCCCATCGCTGCCCTTCGTGGCCCCCCTGCAGCCCTTCGTGGCCCGCTCGCTGCCCTTCGTGGCCACGTTGCACCCCTTCGTGGCCCCCTCGCTGCCAGTCGTGGCCCCATATATGCGTGCCCTTCGTGGCCCCCGCTCGTTCGCGCCCGTCATGGCCCCGTAAGCATGCCTTTCGTGGCCCTGCTGTCGCCCTGTGTGGCCCCCTCGCTGCCCTTCGTGGCACAGTTGCTGACCTCAGTGGCCCCGTCTTTGCCTTCCGCGGCCCAAAATATGCATGCCCTTCGTGGCCGCTCGCTCGCGCCCGTCATGCCCCATGTGCAAGCCCTTCGTGGCCCCGCTGTCGCCACACTCGCGGCCCCCATCGCTGTCCTACGTGGCCCAGTTGCTACCCTCAGTGGCCCCGTCATTGCCTTCGGTGGCCCCGCATTATCTACCCTTCGTGGCCCCCGCTCGTTCGCGCTCTTCGTGGCCCCATGCGATTCCCTTCCTGTCCCCGCTGTGGCCCTTCGTGGCCTAGTTCGTGATCTTGGTGGCCCCGCTGTCGTTATCTCTCTCGCTCTCGCTTTCGCTCGTCGTCGTCGTCGCCGTCGTCGTCATCGATGTCGTCGTCGTCGTCGACGTCGTCGTCGTCGTGGTCGGTCCCCTGTCCGTCCTTCTTGGGGTCGGGCTGCCGCCGATCAGCGCTGCCGCTGGCCAGGCCGACGGTCCGCGGCCGCCCCGCCGCCCGCCGAGGCCCTGCCTGCAGGGAAGAAAGGCTTACCCCCCAAGAAAGAATACGATCGAAGACGAAAAGGGCGGGTATCGAGGGTTTGGGATATGCGCGCTATTGGACAATCGAGCAGATAAGGGCGAACAGTGTTAAAATGATTGCTGAAGAATAATTATGGTTGGTCCCCCCATCACCGGCGCATGATGTTTTCTCAATCAAAATGTGCCCTTCGGCGCTCGCCCCTTTTTTATATATATAAAAAAAGGGGAAATCTTGGTGTTCAAACTGTACCCCTGGCCCCCCGGATTACGACAACAACGGCTCCCGCTTGAGATTTACTCCAAATTTACTCAGGACCCCCGCTCCCGCCTGAGACTTCCTCAAACTGTACCCAGGATCGGTGCTCCGGCATATGAATCCTTCGCGATTTAGTCAGGACCCCCGCTCCCATCTGAGACTTCCTCAAAATTTACTCAGGAACGGCGCTCCCGCTTGAGACTTCCTCGCTTCGCAATTTAATCAAGACCCCCGTCCCCGCCAGAGAGCTCCTCATATTTGATTCAGGAATTGCGCTCTCGCCTGTGAATTCCATATAATGTATTCAACAATCGCGCTGTCGACGCTCAGGAAACACGCTGCGCCAAGGACGCCGTCACAATCTACTTAGGAATCGCGCCGTCGCCCTACGCAGGCATTCCGCTTGAATGTCCCACCCGCACGACCCGCCCGTCGCGGGATCGCCCGCCCGTCGTGGGCTAACGCCCGAGACTTCCTTCGGGAGCGGCGCTTGCGCCTAGGACTTCCTCGGACGTTTACCTTCCTGTTCCTCCTCCCTCTCCCTCCTCCCTCCTCCCTCCTCTCCTCCCTTCTCTCTCCCTCCTCTCTTCCATCATCATTATGCGTCTCTGCCCCATCCTCTTTCCCTCCTCTCCCTCCTCCCTTCTCCCTCCCCTCTCCTGCCTCCTCCTTCCCTCTTGCTTCTTGCTCTCTCTCTCTCTATCTATAGATGTATCCCCTCTATCTCTCTGTCTCTTTCTCGACCTCTCTTATATGCCGTTATCTCTCTCTCTCTCTCTCGTTTTCTCTTTTGTTTTTTCTCTCTCTCTCTCTCTCTCTGCCTCTAATCAACCGCCCCCCTCTTCGCTCGTTCTCTCCTGGCGTTGTCCCTCTTCCTGCGTCCCTCCCCCTCCTTTCCTCCCACTCTCCCTCGTTCTCCCCCTCCTCTGTTTGCAGGGCCCACACCAATTCCAATTGTGGGCACATGTACGCCCACGAAGGATTGCCCGCCCGTTCAGGTTTGCCCGCCTGTCCAAGCCCGCCGCCCCCCGCAAAGACAAATAATCCTCCCAAAGGGGTGTGATCGAAGACGAAAAGGGCGGGTATCGAGGGTGTGGGGAACTCGTTTTGAATGACACACGGGCAAGTAAGAGCGAACAGTCTTAGAATGATTGTTGTTGTGGTTGTTGTTTCCGTTTGTTGTGTGTTGCTGTGGTTGTCGATGATTGTGTTGCTGCTGCTATTGTGTTTGTTGTTGCTGTTGCTGTGATTGTTGATGGTGGTGTTGATGATGTTGCTGTTCTAGTTGCTATTGGCGATGTTGAGGTTGTTGTTGTTGCTGTTGTTGTTGAGTTGATTTCTAAAGAGTCGTCGTTGCTGATCCCCCCCTCCAGGGCATATGGTGCTTTTTCAATTAAGTACCCTTCCTGGGGCTCGCGCACTGTTTCTATCACGGAAAATCTTGAGTATCAGAATTGGGTAGTTGGCCCCCACTTTACAACAACAGCAGCTCCCGCCTGATTCTTCCTCACTATGTATTCCCTAATCGCGCCCTCGCGCGGAACTTCCTTACAATGTATACAGGAGTCGCGCTCACGCGTGGGACTTTCATTTAATGTATTCAGACGTCACGCCCTCGACTGTCAAAAATCATGCTTGGCTGCGGAGTTCTCACGGTTT